GACTAATTCTAGCGTCATTCAGAATCCTAACGTAAGGCCTCTGACATCCTTTCTTTTTATACAGCAATGCTATGCAGGCTTTGAATTCTACATTATTTTTGTTATTTTTATTGTAAATCTTAAATTTTCTATGGTTCTTTATAAAATCCTGAATAAATCCTAGTGGGCAGTTATTCCTTTATTTGTTTGATTTCTGGCATACACTAGTTAGGCTCTATACTGAAGACCAATCAGATGGTCGGGCTGGGTCGGAAAGAATCACCAACAAGAAACCATGGGCAAAAACAAACAAAACAAGAACCAATCGCCAACCAACAAATATGCAGGAAAAAGTGGAGATGGATTGGATACTCGCTGAGGAGGCCGCCGCTGGATGACATCGCGCTTCAGGCCATTGCTCGAGTGGAACCCGAAAAAGGAGTGGAGAGTGGGACGTCCAAGAATGACATGAAGGAGATAGTGTGAAGAGGAGTTGAGACAGTATGGACTAACATGGATGCAGGTGAAAAGTACAGCAGAAGACAGAAGTGGCAAGTGGAAACGTGCAGTTGAAGCCCTATGTTCCACTAGGAACCCAGGGGAACAATAATAATATAATAATTGTTAATCTTAGATTTTCTATGGTTCTTCATACAATCCTGAGTAAATTCTAGTGGGCAGTTATTCACTAGTAATATTTCCTTCATTTATTTGATTTCTTGCTAAGTGGTTAGGCTCTTAGGCCGATTATACATACATTTAACTAAACACCTAACTTTACCGATTCAGGGTGGGATGAATTAATGTCTAAGCATTTTGTATTAGAGTATGTGCGTCGGTTTCCTATAACATCACTGTGCGACTCTATTAAAATAAACTTATCTAATATGGAATTAATTTTACGCTGCCTTAATCTTTCTATTAATCTCTTCAAGATAGTTAACACGTCATCCATATCTAAATCCTAGACTTTTCTAGGAAGCGAGATACTACTCTATAGATCTCATCTCTCACGTTATCCATAACAGTTAACTGGTATTATACAATATGCAATCACGACAAGAAATTATTGTCATTATATATTATTGTTTCCTTCAGTTCCTAGAGTAACATAGAGTTTCAGTCGCACGTCTCCATTGCATTCGATTCTCCTCTAACGTTTTCATCTGCCTCCACGTCTGCCCACATGCTTTCATCTCCTCTTCACATGACCTCCTCCTCCATGTCACCCCACCCCTGGACTACCAATAAACCGCTTCCCGTTCGGCGTGTTCCACTCCAGCGATGGCCTGGCGTGTGATGTCACTCACTTGATGGTTTGTTTTCTCTGAGTATGGCCAGCCAATCCACCTCCAATTCTTCCTGCTTATTTGCTGCACAATCGATTCCCACTGGGTTGGTTCGCTCATTGCCAGAGATCCCTCCCTGTTGCTGATCTTTTCTAGCCGGCCATCTGATCCTGAGCAATGTATTGAGCGAATGCAGCTGTTGATGAACGTCTGTAGTTTGCTTACGGTGCTCTTCACGACACGCTAAGTCTCTGATCCGTATAATAGCATTGACTTCACATTGGAATTGAAAATCCGGATCTTATTTTCCATGCTGAGTAGTGCTATTGACCTCCACACAGACTTGAGAGTAATGAAAGCTTGTCTTGCTTTCCCGATCCTCGCATTGTTATCCTCATCACTTCCGTCCGCCTCTAGTTGAAAATATACTTCCCAGGTCAGTAGGTAAAGGAGGTTGCTTCTTCCAGATTGCTCCCATTTATGCTGGCTGATTGTTGTCTGTTGTCGTTGTTGCTGTTGGTGTTGGCCAGGAATCTTCATCACCTCCCTCTGTTTTCTCTATGTTCACCTGAAGACCTGTCTTCTCTGGATGTTTCTTCCCCGACCGAAAGCTGCTACCTTGACGTGGTGGTCGGGCTTGAACACCGCAATGATCTAATCAAGCTATACTGGCTGAGACTTATGTCTCTTGAGGTCCTACCATGCCAGAAAGGTTGTTTGGATAGCGGTTAAACAAAAAGCAGCTACCCAATCCAACATCATGACCAATACAAAATCACAAAATTTCATGCCGGATCGGCCGTGGCCCGGATTAACAACGACCGCGCTTCCTGCTACCGTGTCACAGGGCAGGAGTGATAAGTATGCTACTGAGGCGCACCAAACAAAAGAGAACGAACAAAAACAGGCCGCGTGTGACCGGCCTCAAGCAGTTGTCCCTGGGCTCTGCGGTCACGCAACCAACTTCCACGGTGTGGGCAGCCGGGAAGTAACAATCGCCCTCACAATCCGAAACGCACGCGAAACCTCTCTATATCACGTGCTACACGGAGTGTGGCGACTTGAACTTCCGCACATTTGTGCAAAGTTCTATGTCGAAAACAGACAGGATGTTTCTTCTGCCAACTTGTTGCTTTTCACTTGCATATCTTCGAATTAGTGGGAAATCAGACATATATCGTCATCGGCAAAGTCCAGATCTCTCAATTGTTTTGTGTGGGTTCATTTATGCCTATCTCCTTAGCATCCCTAGCATGCATCAAAATTATTCCCATGCATGTTGCCACCTAATCTATTAGTCTATAAATAACTCTAAACATGAGTTCGATAAACAACTGAGCTTTATGTCATAAAACTTGAAACGACGTCGAAAAGCGTAGAGAAATTGATTGTCGAAGCTCACCTTCATGCAGAATATGAGAACCATATAGACTACCATATCTATACAAGTGAAGTCAAGTAAACAACAATACATGAGCTGTGCATTTGCTGGGCAAGCAGAGGAAATCAATCGACGAGGCTGTGAAGCTACATCGACTGAGATGGTTAGGACATGTGTTACGTATATGTAGTCATCGCCTCCCTCGAAGGGCAATGTTAGCTGAAATAAGGTCAGGCTGGAAAAGAGCTATGGTTTCATCAGTCAATGAAATCTACAACAGTTACTTTAAGTCACGTAGGAAGGTGTAGACTTCCTGACTGGTTGGGGTCCTTGACACGGTAAAAACCAATGAAGGCTGGAAACAATTGGTGATATGGCTCAAAATCGTCGTTCTCAATGGTTGGCGCAGATGCATCCACTCCTTGTGACTTATGATTTCTAATGAAACTATATTGTTCTTCGTTATTACTATTCCTTTGCCTCACACCTATCTTTACTGTCTCTATTATGCATTTCTTCTACTTTCTTCTTCTCTTGCTTTGTGTGCTACATGGAGTGTGGTGACTTGAAATGTCGCACATTGGTGCAAAGTTCTTTGTCGAAAACAGACAGACTTTTCGGCGAAGTTAAACTTTCGACACCACTAACTACCAATCAGCGAATTATCCAATGAGGTTCACGAACGCAGTTCAATATTGTATAGCGCTTGATTCATTTCTAATGCATGACCTTACAAGGCTACTGTTGCAATTCGAGGAGGTTAGTGTTTTCTAGTATTTCCTGGATTTGAGTTGCTCCGGAAAGAGCGAATTCGTTTGTGTGGTGGTATCATGACTTTAAAAAGCTATACCGAATCAACTGATGGGTTTGTTCATCCTTGTGCTATATGTTTGAAGCCTACTAACGCTAGAGAGGGTAAGCTGATAATTTTAATATTTCGTAGGAACTTTTTTCGCTAGGTCGCTTCTCCCCCTAAGGATACCAGATAGAAAAGCAACTACTCTTATACCTATTGTTACCAGAATTGTTAAGCGGGGGTCAATTATACACACGGAAAGGCTACAATTCGCTGTCATCTCTGGGATATATTCATCGTAGAGACAACCATTCAAGTGATTTTGTGGATCCCGTTACGAGGACACATATAAATCCTACTGAAGGATTTTGGGGCAGGTTGAAAAATAGGATAGGGGCTATAAATGGATCTCAAAAGGATCTCATTTATGGTCATTTGGATGAATATATGTACAGGATATGGTGTAACTTCTCCATTGACAGTCCCATGCTAAACTGGGAGATGTTTCTCTCACATGTTCGAGAAAGATATCCCATGTAACTTTTTTATTCTCTATTTTATGCTTTTTTCTACAAATATACATTTCCATTCATCATATATGCCTCTTTAATGTGATTGGTCCGTTTAAGGTCGTTTGCTGATTGGTTGTTAGTGGTGTCTAAAGTTTAACTTTGCCGACTTTTCTAACTCCTTATAACTCTTACACAATTCCATATTTTTCTCTCGTTTTCATGTGTATCCCATGATGACAACTCATTCATTAAATTGTTCACCTTATATTATGTAACTCTAGTAGACTTTTATTTAACTGCTTCTTTTTTATGTACCGACTAATAAATATTAACAACTACTAAGTTTTTGTGACAACTCACTACTTCTGTTACTATCCTTTATCATGTGAGACAAAAGAAAACTCAAGTATTGGTTTGTAGCAGGATTTGGTTGATTGGTTACACGATTTCATTATAATGAGCTGACATTGGTTAGAGAACCACTTAGAAAACCTTCCAGGGAGTACTGGACAGCCAGCTGTTTCGTCAGGCTAGTTTGGGACTGACGCTTCATGAGTACGCACCCACCGCACTAGGGTTTGAACCCAGGACCTTCTGGTGGTTACAAGGCTAGCGAGCTTGTAGACCATTCATCAGCCACCGGGACCCGATCCAATGGCCCATGGCGCTATACTGTGAATTGGCAGAAGGCCTCGCAGTCAGAAGGTAATAGGTTCTAACCCAGATGGTGAGTGCGTACTGATGAAGCGTCAGTCCCAAACTAGCCTGACGAAACAACTGGCTGTCCAGGGTTTTCCAATGGTTCTCTAACCAATGTCAGCTCATTATGATGAAATACTGTAACCAAAAAGAATTTATACATATAAATGCGATTATAAGAGGGTAAAGTGAAAATCGAAAATTCTCCAAAGCAAGCCCCTTCGTCGTTGAGCTACTTGTGTTTTGATATTAATAAGAAATTTTTTGACAAAAAAAAAACAATAAAAAAAAAGTCCAGCATATTTACGACTACATCTCGGTAACACACACACACACACACTTACCACTGGTCCTTTAGAACATCAAGGCATATTACACCAGTAGCACTACTAATATTAGGATGCCAAATTTTAGTAATAAATTGAACCTACGCGAAAGAAACAATAACTTAGTCATAGGAGTAAAAAGTAAAATTACCTTTGGTGGAACGAATGGATAATTTTCAGGAATTACAATATCTAATTTGAAATCTGCACCAGCGTATGGTGTGTCTGGTGGTCCCTTGATACGACCGTGTAAGTGCATCATATCATTACTACTAGGTTGTATTTCTAATTGATTTTGAGCCGCCTAAAATATTAGAAATAAAAATAAAATGTGATGAAAAACAGTTAATTACAATAACAATAACAAAAATAACTGTCTGTTTTCGATATAGAAAAGAACATGATGGTAGACTACATTTCCTGAACGTTTAATTGAGCAGAAGAGATGATGGTTCACTCAAGAGAGATGTCTATGGTAAAACCTACATCTGTAGGACAATACAATACACATTTCCTCAGTTTTGTACCAATCCGATACAAAATCAATTTAGTCAGATGCCACCTCACGAATAGAGCAAGACGTATGTGTACAGATGACTCTCTAGAAAATGAGTGAGGATACATCCAAAATACGCTGGTCCAAATGGACTATCCTAGTAGACTTGTAAGGAGACACATGGACACCAAGTACAATAAAGAGAAACTGACAACAGTTAAAAAAAGAAACAACCGTTCATGAAATTGCAATTTAATGCGAACGTGGCTAGCGAAGTCTTATATCTGAGATTATCAAGAGCGATAAAACGGACTTACACTGCCGCCACCTTCTTTTTGTCATTTTCCAGCCAACCAATTATGATTGCTCAAGTGAAAGATAAGCTACCTAGCTGTGCCACTTCTATGTGTATCTATAAATTTAGTTGCTCCTGTGGAGAGAGCTATATAGGGCGAACAACTAGACGGCTTAATAAACGCATTAATGACCATCTTCCCTTGTTTTCATGGTTCGGAAAAGTTCAAATAAAATCTATACGAAGTTCTATTTTGGCTCATTTGATTGATGATAGCGGTCTTCAAGTGGACAAAAATAGTGCCGCCTTCAAAGTTATCTATCGCATTTCATCGAGTCTTTCGAACGGAATCAGAACTAGTCTTTTACACTTAGCCGAAGCTATGGGAATTAATTCGAGAACAATCCTAGTCTTTACATACAACAAAAGAAGTTTGTTCTACCTTTGTCTTTCCCTTGGCTTAGGTGAATTCTATTCAAAACCCTCCCACCCCTTCTTATCTTCCATCTCCTTCGTACTTTTATCATATTTATTTAAACTCTGACTATCGTTCCATTTCACCTTTTAGGATTTGACCTAATTTATTTATCTATTGAACTGTCTACACATACACATTCTACTTACTACCTTTGTTATTCTTATCGCCACCTGTATAAACCTTATTGTCAATATTATTTTGTTATCATTATAATCATCATTATTAACTTCGTTCAAAACAATTGCCACATTATAATTATTATTTGATCTACAAAATCACCGTCATTGGTTAAAAAATTTTATATATAAGTCTGTGTAAATTAGAGTAAAGCCTGAAGATCTAATTGAAAACAATATTGTTCGCTTATATGTCCTGTTCTAATAGAACTTTGCACCGATGTGCACCAGTTCAAGTCGCCACACTCCCTCCTTGTAGCACATAAAGCAAGAGAAGAAAGTAGAAGAAACGCATAATAGAGACAGTAAACAGAGGTATGAGACAAAGGAATAGTAATAACGAAGAACAATATAGTTTCATTGGAAATCATGAGTCACAAGGAGTGGATGCATCTGCACCAGCCATTGAGAACGATCACTTTGAGCCATATCACCGATTATTTCCAACCATAGGTTTTTACCGTACCGATGACCCCAACCAGCCAGGAAGTCTACACCTTCCTACGTGGCTGACTGGTTTGCTTAAACTAACTGTCGTTGATTTCATTGATTGATGAAGCCATGTTTTGGTTTGACCTCCGCTCGCTCTTTTCCAGCCTGACCCTATGTCAGCTAACGCTTTCCATCGAGGAAGGCGATGACTAGGCACACATGTCCTAACCATCTTAGTCGATGTATTTTCACAGCCAAATTGTCGATTGATTTCTCCTACTTACCTAGCAGTCGACCGATGCCTAACCTCAATATTGCTCACCTTATTATACCGCTTCACACGGGAGATAGAACGCAGGTACCTATGATCGAAGACAGCTAATCTTTTCATGTCTTCCTCTCTCAATGGTCAAGTCTCACAGCCATAAAGGAGGACGGAGCGAAGTGCCACTGAGCAGTACATTTGACGTTTATTCGATAGCCGGATATCACGTCTACTAAGCCAGAGACGGTGTAAACTGGCATATGCGAAACTACCCCTCTGTATCCGTGCGGGGATTTCGTCAGACATCAACCCGTTGGCACTGGCTGATGGTACTTCCCAAATAAATGAAGCGACCAACGTGCTCTACCACTTCACTCCCTATTTCTAAACTAGGAGTCAGTGTATTCCAGTCCTGTAGCCTCATAATCTTACATCTGGTGGAAGCGGATCGCATGCCAAACATTCGAAGATTGCTGCTCGGCTCAAGGTGTTCAGAAGACTCTGCATTTTGTCAGCGTCCTCGCCTAGAAGGACTATGCCATCATCTGCATATTTTAAGTCAACGAGATTATTCCCTCCCTGACAGCAAGTCAATCCCTGAGTCTTTGAAGTGAGTTAGGCTTAAGTCCATTAGAACATCAACTACAATAACAAAAACAAAAACATACGGAAACATCTGCTGTCATATTAGATGAAATAGTCTCCGAAAATCATTTGATTATAATAAGTGACTGAGAAATTAACATAGAATTTACTGAGCACAGATATGAATATCGGTGTAAGTGCATAATACCACTTAGGAAAAGCACATACAACTGTGAAGACGAAAGAAACACACAATGATACTACAACAACAGTAGAGACATAAGTTTAGTAGATTCATCAAGGTATAACAGTTGCTTCTGTTTACGAGGGTCGATAATGCAGACATGATCGGCGGGGAGGGAGATTACGCTCGTACATTCCAAAACGAGCAACAATCCTCCGCCTTTCCTTGTAGTTAACGGTCACAAAATGAGTCAGTGTCTGTCTTCCTGATGTGTTTAAGTTAGTGATTGCCAAGTATAGATAATTATTTAAGCTAGAGTGCAAATAACGAATGCCGTCAAAAGATCATAGATACAACACCACGGTAGTTTTGTGAGTGGTGGTGGAGAGGTGATGGATGAGATTTCCAACCGTATTATGAAGGCTAGGGCGGTACACGTCAAATTGAGCTACATCTGATGTTGTCCCGACGTTAGCCTGGCTATCAAAGGTCGAGTATACAATGCTTTGGTGCCTGCGAAAACTGATCTCTCCAGGTTGAAGATGTGCGGTGGCTCTGAGCATTCGATCATCATTGCCTCTACAAGATTACTTGCGTTCGATGCCATCACCACGAGGGTAATTCTGAGGTTCAGCGGCGTGTGCTCAAACACAGTGAAGATCACCATTGGTTGAGCGTTATCATCTGGAAATACCGGCTCCGGTGGCTTGGACACGTGCTGCGAAGGTCATCCCAGGTCTCTGTTCGCTAGCCAGCCCTGGCGAAGGAGTGGTCAGTCCATGACGTGGCGTCGTGGGATAAAAGATATTTGTGCTAGATTAGCATCGGTTGGTGCGTCACGACTCCTCGGTTGGGGTCCGAGAGATACCCCGAATCGATGGCTCGAAACGTTATCGGATATGGCCGCGAATTGTAATCAAAGGCGAGCGTGCTGCAATTTCCTCCTTTCTTCCCTTCCCGATGATAGTTGACGAATACTGTTTGAATTTGTTAAGTATGACTGTTTTCCTTCCAGATGAAGTTCTTTATCTGTTCATTACTTATAATTTTTACTTTTGATCTATGGTATTTTATTATTATTATTATTGTGTGGCGCATCTTTCTTGGTGTCATATTGCTCCAAGTTTTTTGAGTTCAGATAAATAAACAAAAAAATAAAAACCACAGACACATAGCTAAAATACCTTTGTGTCTGGTTACACTTCACCCCTTGAGCATAAATAATATTTGTTAATATAACTTTCAATAAAAAGAACCTTTGGTTGCAGGATTTCATCATGAGCTGACATTGGTTAGCGAAACATTGGAAAACCTGGAATAACTTGACAGCTGTCTCGTCCTGTTTTGTGGCTCTTCATCAGTACGCAACCTCCGCTAGGGTTCAAACCCAAGATCTTCTGGTTACAAGGCTAGCGAGCTCGTAGACCATTGAGCTACTGGCACCCGACCCAATGACCAGTGCATGAATTCTAACTTCTGTCAATTCACAATATAGCGAAACCTCTAGCCAATGTCTTCGGCGAGTATTTGTACTCTCACCCGACCTGCTGCACCCTACTGGTTAGCATAGCTCTCTAACCAATGTCAGCTCATGATGGAATCCTGTAAGCAATCAACCAAATCTCTAGAAACCAATACTTGAAAAGCAATCTTTCATTGCATCCAAACTAGTTAGTGATTTCGAAAACTGACTGAATTTCAATGTGTAGAACTTTGCACACAGAAGTGCACCAGTTCAAATTATCACACAAAGAAAAAAATCAGGGAAAAAGAAAATTTGAAAGGACACTATATATAAACAGGGAATTGAGGCAGGAAGAATAGTAACATGTCATTTAATTGACAATGACGATCACAATGAATGAATGCATCTGTGCCATTGAGAATGATTTTTTCAGCCATGATTTTCTCCAAGTTTCTAGCCATTGGTTCTTAGCATTCCGAGGATCCTAAGCAAGCAGTCTACACTTCCCTGCATACCTCAAACTGACTGTCAAAGATATCATGAACTAGTGTCACATCCAACCTGATGTTATATTGACTAAAATTTCCAGTCTGGGTAGGTGATGGCTAGGCATGAGCAACATATATCTTCATCGATTGAATTTTTTTTCCTTCACGTTCCCAGTGGAACATTGGGCCTCGAGCTAGTGGCTTGAAGTTTCGGATGTGCTATCATCCTCATACTCTGAGTCAACAAGACTATTCCCTAATAACAAGTCAATCACTAAGTCTCTGAAGTCGGTTAGGGTCAATTCCATTGCTGCGTCTGTGGTGAAATTACACAGAAATGAAGACGGTGGGAATCCCTGACGGATACCTACTGGTTGTCATCACTTCAGTTGACAACTATCCATAAGTTGTTGTCTAGGATACCACAAAAGGGCATCGACACCTACAGCATTCTCTAAATAAAGTACGATGAATAAAAAAAGCTCTTGTGTTAACTGAAGCGTGTCAAAAAACTTATAGTTCCAGCCTGAAAATATTCAGAAAGATTTCTCCAAGGGGTGTTGGTATAAAAGACTAACTTCATGTAACACTAGAGAAAGTTGTCTGAGGCAAGTCATGCGAACAGTTTGCAGAAAGTTGAGTTTGTGGAACTCGGCAATATAAAAAAAATAAATCGAGATCACCATTATAAACAGTTTAGAACCTACTTCTCCAACCTATCCGTTCCGAACGAAAAGCCAGAACTTTATTGCCGGACGTTCGAGGAAATCGCCTCAATAACGTCGCATCTTTCACTGCCAGTATGTTTACGACTGCCTTTAGCCCTCAAACCCCGGCCATCGAACCTGAGTTCCTGATCGGGTAGAAATTGTAGAGACAGTTGCCTCCAGGTCAGTCCAATGTAGGTCTGACACATGTCATATTTTCAGTTAAAAATAGAAGGACACATTTAAGTGAAACATATACATGATAGGATAGTTTCTGTGTGATGACGAAAGACTATTATTATTAGTTGCAACTACCAGTAATGGCCATCACTGTCTCCGGTTCAATCAACTGGACCATTATACTTAAATAATCTGCTGTGAGACCTGGAACCATTAGTTTGACCAGTTAACAGTACAGTCAATGAACTACTAAAACTACACAAATTTTGGTTACCTAGTAAGTGAATTTGTATCTGCTAGCATACATTGCTTTGACAGATTTGTTGTTTACCCACCCTGAGAAATCGACGGTAAAACAACACTAGTAATGTGATAATTTGATTGGTAGACAGATGTATACTTCATTAAATTCCAGATTTGCGTACAAATATAAAAGTTATCTTCAATAGACACTCGCAAGGTATAGGATATGCTAAACGCAGATGACAATATAAAATAACTGAGAGGTATTATTGTGAGTCGTCAACAGAGGTAAGTAAAATAGTGTCACACCGGTATACTTCTACTGTTTTTATTATCGAAATCATCCCCAGAGTAAGACAGATACACACACCAAAACGAACTCGAGCAAAACGGGACTAATCTAAGTTGACAACTCCCAACTACCACTTAACAATATGGTAAACCTTGATTCCTTTTTAGCATACTACACCTTGAGTTATCACTGTTTGTTCAGAGATGCCACAATTTTATATCTATGAGGAAATCCGGTGACTAAATAACAGGGGAGAGAAAACTATATAAACCGGACACTACAAACGAATTACCGTAAGTTCATAGTGTTGGATTGGTTTCCATTCGCGGTTTCACCATTTTAAGGTATGTACTTAGACATGCATGGCTTAATCTCTGAGACAAGCATATGACTACTACTGACAGGATCAACCAGTTTATTCACACCATGATACACCCATTGACTGGGTATTGGTTTTCAGGAGAACCAAACACACTCATCCCTGCCTCTTGCGATACGAGAACGACATGCAGAATCATCCTTTGGCACAACCACTCGAGAGCCCTCTACCTCGGTGGACCATTCGCACCGTTTGTATACATATATATACATAGTAATGCATAGGTAAACACTGTTACGCCGGTCACTGATCGCGTCAATCAATTATTCACTGCATAGACAAGCTCAATACAACTCATCTCGCATACAAGGCCAGCCAAATGTATTATTATATGCAAAAGTAGCACGCATAGCGACGCTATAGTGACAATAGGCCCCTATAAACGAAGCCACCAGCCACCAAATTCAATGAAATCGTTATCCCTGCCAACCGATTTAGCATGCAAATAGCTTCTATACATCTGCTAAGAATATAGAAAACCATGCACAGTCATATAAGTGAGCCATGAGATCAATTTAACCCACGCTCACGTCTATAGAGCTTATGCTGTGTTTTGTTCTTCGCTATTACTCTTCCTCTGTCTCACACCTCCATTTACTGCCTCTATTATGCTTTTCCTGTACTTTCTTCTCTCGCTTTGTGTGCTACAAGGAGGGAGTGTGGCGACTTGAACTGCCGCACATATGTGCAAAGTTCTATGTCAAAAACAGACAGACAGACAGAGCATAAGTTCACCAAGATACTTCTATAAAAAATCAATATTTAAAATGGATACCCACTAAAATTCATTTTAAAAAATATCAGACCCAAAGTTCAGGAAAACCAAATATTATTTGCACAGAAAAAGGAGCTATATGAACTTTGATTTCAATGGAAAGTCAACTTGCTACATGATTAAAAGAATTTCATCACCTTTGAGAACATTCTTTGTAGCAATGTCAAAAGTAGCGTTCTCCAGTCATCCAATGGTCTGCAGAGGCCTTAAGGGCAACATCTCACATCTGACTACTTCTGTGTGCATGTTTCAGTTCACCAGCTCTTGTGAAGCCAAGTATATTGGTCATTTGATGCGTATCCTATCTAAAAAGGATCAAGATCACTATGCTGCATGGTTGCCGAAAAGTAGCATCAGCTTTGTAAGGAATGCGATAAATGAACATCTTTACGACATGGGTCATTCTAACTTAATAAAATCCTCCTCCAAAGTAATCTACAGAATGAAGAGCAACCTTTTGAAGACAATACACTTTCGACTATTCTACATTGCTGAAGCTCTAGCCACTCAGTTTCGAAAAAAGCAGGAACTCCGCACACTGAAGAACATTACTCAACCACTTCTATTATTTTGGTAACAACCTTGTCTTTGTTTTCTGCCAACTTGGTTTTTGTTTGTTTTTCAAATCTTTCTAAGTCCTCCGTTTCTTCCCAACTTTAGCACAGTATCACACTTACTCTCGTTTTTTGCGCATTCCGATTACAACTCATTAAATTATCTTATTATGGGACTCCGACAATTATTCGAATCCTCGTATGTGTTGATTAACTATGATCTCGACGATTCACCGCTTTTGTTGCTATCTTTTTTATGAAAGAATGTAACTATAAAGCCAAAGAAAATGAATTTTCCAAAAACAGTCTCTTCACTGAAACACTTGTTCCTTCATTAGTAATTAAAAATCAATTGCCGAGTTAAGAGTTATTGACTCAATAGGAATTTCAAGCACACTGGTGCGATTCCATTGAAAACAGAACCGAGGAATTGGGACATGTCCGCCCGGTGTGTCTACAGTAAAGTCAGTTTCTGAAAATCTGTTGAATTTGCGACTGATTTACGGTTGCATGACGAGGAAATAAATGTATCTGTTCACCATTTGCTTTATTTTGCAGATGCCAGTAAGCTCAGAACTTTTGAAATCACCAAAATAAACAAAAAAGTTCAGATAGTGTCCCTAATAGATGTGGTGAGCCGAAAACAAGTGATAACTGGAGAGCCATGTCACAAGAACTAGATCACGGTACACCAAAACATGCGATAATTTTACTGATATTTTAAAACTGCAGCTCTCTAGTCCGTACCTCTAAACTAAAGAAACCCAAACGAAACATCAAAGTAAGGGTACGTATAGATCTTGACTAACAAGTCAGATGAGCCAATGCAAAAATAACGCCGAAAGACAGCTTCAGCACACGAGTTACGCTGACAAACCCATTAGGAGATAATATTTCAGTACCGTCAGGATAATAGGCTTATACGAAGCTTGAAGATGCGGAGTGGTGCCTTAACAGATGTATGCAGTTGCTGTTGATGAATACGTGAACAGAAGTCCAACCTGTCGACACAGAATATCTGTCCAGAAAGAGATGTAGTTTCTGAGTACTGTAGAGTAGTGAATGGGTCACACAACAGCATGATATACAGTTGTCTGGATGAATTTATGTGCAAAGATAGGTCTGGAGTATCACTGAAGACTCCAAAAAGCAATAAGATTTCTTTGAGGCACATACAGGAAAGCTGTCGTATATAGCTATTTTCTGATACCAACGCTGACGTCTATAATAGTTGTTTATATAACAAGTATTTAATACTGGCTCATATTACTGGTCCATTTGATCAAGTCTTTCACTTAGGTTGCTACAGTTTAGAGTTACCAAGCAAGCACTTACTTCGTCTGACTTCATTAGTTCCGCCAGTTCTTTCTGAATTCGCTTCCCAGCTATGCTTGCCATACTGATACAATGGTAACCACGCCCGATGTAGCGCACAAATCTCCAGCAAGCGCAATTCCAATGTTCAATGTCTATCTTACCAGGTAGTGTAAGTCACATTAATTTCTTTAGGCTCGCTTCTTGGTTGTAAGGTAAATATTCCTGGTTTTAAGTAAACTTCTGCATAGGTCGTCCTCTCAACAGCTTTTCTCAGCCTCGATTCACTCCTAGTGTTGTGGATATTTGTTTAACGTGGTTGGTAGTAGGTGCTGTGTTTAGACTACGCTGTAGATGAAGTTAATTCTCTCACAAGTTATTCACCTGGTGTCCTTGAAAAGTGAGAAGATACCAACATAAGTATTGCAGATTATGTAAACTTAAAACACGAACAAGCATATGGATGGAGAATGCAATTTAATAATTAAAAATTAGGTGGATGAATCAGTGGAATAGACAGAAGAATGATACACGGGAAAGTAAGTAGTGGCAAAAGACGGGTTTACATTATACCCATTAACAGATTGCTATGTGAATTCTAAGGAGACTATCCATTTGGACACAGTCCTGTAGCGCTACATGACTCCCGAAAATTGTTGGCTGGCAGCATTCATCACTCGACACCCCCACTACTCCTGCCGACCTGATTGGCTGAAGCCCTTGGTGAAGCATCCACGCCATCTGGCGTCCTGTCGTTTTACGTTCGGTTGTTCGTGCACGACCCCCAGCTAGTCAAGCCGTGCTCGTCGCACTACTATTTCGGTCCCGAAATACACATCGCATTTTAGACGATCAATTTGGTGTTTTGCTCTGTCTTCGTTCTACGCAGAATGAATACCATAGAAGTTGTAGTTATAAGATCTCGCATATGTATAATTCGTACTACCCACGGACGCCAACATCCTCGGCTATAATACTGGTGAACCCTACTGCGAACTTCATCTCTGATAAACACACAGACGGACTCGTTCCATTTTGTATTTGTTCTTGAGTATTATTTTTCAACCGTGAATAACCATACGCTTAAGCTCATAAATATCCGACTAACTAGCACCACTATTTAGCTCGTGCCGTTCTGGCCAGACAACGCAGAAGCATGTTTTATGGTAGCCGTTGTCAGCCACGTCTCGCTAATCGTTAATGCCCAGCTCTTTCTACGCTGGGCCTCACGCTGTTCCTCGAAGCTTCTCAGAAACGCTTAGTACGAACGGACGCAAAAACCAGAAAACAGATTGGCGACTCGAGAATTCTTTATTCTAACACCAACATATAGCCAACTTTACAACTAAGTTCTATCAACAAATATTACAATAATAATTCACAATATTACTTCTGACGGTTTTGTACTTGCTTTCTGAACAGCGATGGATGAGACGATGATTGATGTATTGATGCCTCCGCGAAAAATCGGGGAAGTTGGGTTTGAGCAAACAACCAGGAATTGATCGTTCAATCTTCAACTACATTGACATCCGTGTTTGACGTTGGTGAACACGGGATCACTGACTGATGTTCACAATTCCTTGCAGTTCTCCGGGTCTGAACTGTGGGAATTAAGCAAATGCGTAACTGCGAATGTCAACCCCAAAGGTAAGCACCCCTATGAAATGCTGAAAAACCATCCTTAAAAGAAATCATCTTTCGGGTTGGCAGCGTCCTGATGACTACTTCAGCAGCGTCAGGTCAGGCGATCATTCAGCTATCTACATGCGGGAACGAATGTGAGAAGTTATTGACCAATGTTAGCTCGATGAGGGGCTCTTCAGAGAGTTGTTCCTGTCTAAGTCGCCGCGGCCGGTGCAGACTGTGCTTTAATCACTTCAACGAGTTGCTATCAACGATGAAACGGCTTCATCTGATATAATTTTGGAAATATAGCATCGACCAGTCAGTGAAATGGGTTTAATTGAAAACGGTCTCCAAGTAGTGACATTGAAACGACGGAGTTATACGGCTCCGTTCCCCTCAACTTAGAAACCCACGTGGTCGAGTTAAATCTAAACCATGCTCACCTAAAATGCCTGAGTAGTTTTAATATCATAATACTTAGTGCCAAGAGGCGAAATGTTGTCGAGGACTCTGAGATTGTGGGAAACTAACCCAATAGAACACTTTGGCAGATACCTTAGCCAGGGGAAGAAGCCATCTGCTAGACAGCAGCGATGTAGACAGCAGAACCCGGCACACGGATGCTACAGGTTCTGAAGTCAGTATCCTCTATTCTAAAGAGGCAGATGGGCAGGAGGAATCCACCTTCAACTTACAGACTGCGAGTATAAAACCCCTGCAAACTGCGACTGTGAATTCTCCCATTAGAATGTAGAATGACGCAAAACTACTCAGAGGACTTCAAGGAAACCAATTGCTTAGGATGCTTGAACGATTTTGAACTAGTTTCCAGCTTGTTTCGACTGGATATAGCGCTTACGACTGACATGTTGCCATCAATCCTGCTAGACTTGAGCGCTAGCCACACTACCTGCTGACTCTCAAGCCTAGCCCATCTAACTTGGTGGCCTGGCAGTTCCTGACTTCACCCCAACTAGCAAAACCAGAACAGAACAACCGCGGCCACTGAAAGGCGTAAGCATTGACGATAATGTGAAGACTGTACAAGTAGATATTCACACCACAGCAAAGCAGATGAGCTCCCGCACCCTAAAATCTATCTTGACCGTAATGCGCTTCAGTCCGAGAGAGGTTAAACAAATTAATGGTTGAGTGTGAAAGGCTGAGCATCAGTTGATTTCAAGAAATCAAATTATTACCCACAAATGTTCCTTCCCGGTAATTTAACGACACAATTCTCTCGAAAAAACGTACACGACAGCCGTGATCTAATCATCCATATCCACATGAACGACTGGTTAACGGTACCACTAGACTGTCTATTTATTTAAGGCATCAAATAAGTAGCCATAAACCGAATTTATGTAAATAATACTTACCCATGACTGTACATATGGTGCATCCTACACTGGTAGGAACTAATGTGTAACTTGTTGCATTCTCATTACCAAATATGCATACTAACCGTATGTGTAATTTATCATATTGATGATGCCTTTGAACTGGCGTCCCCCATGTACAAACAAATGAGAATATATTATTATGTGTAGGTCACAACTAGTCAACTTTTGAGAAGGCGACGGTTAAACTAACGTTTCAGCCGATTGCTGTCAAGTGCCCAGAACCTATTTGTCCCTCGAACAACCTGCCGTGCATGACCAGCAATGTTATGCGTCACATCACAACCTCAGGACAACCCACGACATCAAAAGTACGAAGACTTGCTCCTGATGAATTATGACTGACGAGAAACGAGTTCGACCATTTGTTCATCCTTGGTATCATTCGGCTATCGAATGGCCCATGAGGATCCCCACTCCATATAATGCCGAAAGAGGAAAGCAGCGGTTGACGACCCACCGGTGATTGCCAGCGGCTGGACGCCAAAACGACCCCTGATTGCTATCCATTGTCTCATATACACAACTTAATGGCAACACTATCCGGTGCAACTATTTTCTCGAAAATAGACTTGCTTAAGGCATGCAACCAAGTCCCGGTGGTACCAGATGACGTTCTGAAAACGGCTATCATCACACCTTTCACAGTGTCTGAATTTCCACGTATGACATTTGGCCTTCAGAATGCAGCTCGAACATCCCAACGACTCATTGACGAAGTATTTCGCTATCTTGACTTTGTATACGCATACTTAGATGACTGCCTCGTTACGAGTTCAAACAAGGAAGCTAACCTTGGATACCTGGACTTAGCATACGAAAGGTAATGCCGACATGATGTTGTCAATAATATTCAGAGGTGTCAAACAGGAGTAGAATCACCGAACTTTCTAGGCCACATCATCGACTGTAAGGATATCAGCTCATTGACCAGTGAAGTCGAGGCGATTTTAAACTTTTCGGAGCCAAGTACGGTGAGGGACTTTGGGACTTTTGATGGCATGGCAGGTTATCACCAACGCTTCATTTCCGACCGTGCCTTCCTGATTCGGCGGCCAAAAGACCTCCGAGGCAGCGACAAGTTCATTGAATTCGATGCATCCGCTAAAAGTGCTTTGTCAGCCAACTCTCATAAACTGTCAATGTCCAGCTCTTACTACGCTGGACCTCACGCTGTCCCTCGAAGATTTTCAGAAACAATTGGTAATGACCAACGCGAGGAACCAGAACACAGATTGGCGATTCGAGAATCCTTTATTCTTACGCCAATATGTAACCAGTAATAAGGTTATTACACACAAGGTCTAAGAATAAATGTTATAACAATAAATCACGATGATACTTCTGATAGTTTTCTATCTTCCACTGAATAGCGAACGATGAGACGATGACTGCTGGGTTGATGACTCCCGCGAAAGATATGGAGGAGTTGGGTTTGAGTAAACAACCATGAATTGATAGTTCAATCTTCAACTACATTGACTGCTTTCGTTGAGGTTAAATTGGTTATCGTGGAAGCCAATCTACTTATGTACCTAGATCCAGCGACACCATTAAGTATCTTAGTTGATGCACCTGAAACTGCAATCGGTGCAGCACCGCTATAACTAGTCAACAGTTAGTGGTGACCAACCATCTATTTCTCGAGATGTCTTCAATTGACAGAAACGAAGTACAGCACATTTGCTTGCGAACTACTTGCTACGTGCTGCGCTACACGCCACTTTCCACACTCAGTGGAGGGTCGTGAATTCATAATTTTCACTGATCACAAGTCGCTTACGCACTCTCTAAATTCAACTTCAGATAAGTATTTACCAGAGGAAAATGAAAACTCGACAACGTCTCACAGTTTACATCGGATATTCGCCATGTAACCAGAGTGAACATCACGTCATCCTCTCTGTCATGGAAATTCGTGGCGTAATCCGCATGTCAATTTTTTCGTTCGATTTATCACATTGTGACTCCTTTCTATTTGGTGGATGACGTTTTTTTCGAAATTCATTGTTCATGAGGTTATAATTTTTATTGACACGACTTTGAAATTTGAGTCTTATAGTTTTCTTTGTTCTCTCTCATTTGCTTTAGGTTTAGTCTAATGTTCCAGATATCAAGAACAGGTGGTGAACCTT